AAGCGAACACAATGAAACTCGCAAAGAGCTCCGGGCAAAACTCCGTGATAGCCTGAAGAGACTGCGAATCTCAATGTGCGTCAGAGATGGAAGTGGCCGCTACCCTTGGTAACCATCAATGATTATTCCGTATGATTCGGGGAACGGGCAGCAGGAGACCTGGTGTTAGTGAATCTATACGTGAGGAGAGTGGACAGCCTATCTACAGCTTGTCAAAACGCTTGGAGCGCTGGGCTGAGCAATCGGAAAGGTAATTTAATCGGCTGGAATTGTCAGGATTTTAGGTGGTTACTAATCATCCTGCTCCCTGGGTTGTCCCTTTTGGATCCGGCCCCTAGCTAAGAAGACAAATAAGAAATCCGACGGTTGAGGTTGAACAAAGCCGCGTGACCAGATGATCTTCATCCAGCCCTTTTCAAATTAGGGGGAAATGCACTTGTTGACGATTTACACGAATTACGAGTAATTCTGTGAAAGCAGAAAGCTGTCCCAAAAGACTGGAGCCACTCTGGGATAGTCCCCATTTTCAACGGAGGCTCACGATCGGAATGTGACAACCAAAGAGGAATCAGTCTGACCCCCATCGCCTCCAAATTACTTGTCTCTGTAATCCATCACAGACTGAATGGTACTCGTGAAAGCCAGATTTGTGAAGAGCAAACCGGGTTTCGTCGAGGCTGTATCGAGCAAATCTTTACTTTGTGTCATTTGTTGGAGCACCGTCACACATATTGGCGGCTCACCGTTGACGTGTTCCTCGATATCAAAGGTGTTTTCGATTCGGGTGATCGACATGCCCTTCGGGACTGTCTACTCAGGAAAGGTATGCAAGAGAAATACGTAAATATTACCCGAGCATTATAAACGCGTAGCACGGGCAATGAGAGGGCTTACGGCAAACTGTCGCCGCCCTTCAATATCTCCAGCGGTGTGAGACAAGGATGCCCGTCGTCACATTTTCTCTTCAACTTCGATATTGAGTAAGTCACGGAGATTGCATGTATTGGACACGACTCAGGTGTGGAGCTATTGCTAGGCGAACGAATTCTTGACTCGGAATATACTGATGATTTTGCCTTCACCTGTGACAGTTCCCAAAAGTGCCAAGCGGCAATGGACAGAGTAGCACTGGCTGTTGTCCGTTTCCGGCTATGTTTTGCACGTTTGTCCGATGCTCAAATCGATTTAATCAGATGACGTCCTGACAGGGGTAACAGACAGCTAAACAACTTGTGTACACAGAAGAGGTAAAAATACTGACAAAATAAAAATACGTGATTACATAGATAAATAGCACCCGGTTATGCGTAACACTCCGGGGGCACGACTTCTCATCGCGGCTATGGCAAAGTCAAGGGTTGCACAAGCCCCCTATGCCTGCGTAGCTCTGGCTGTGTTAGCCTGATCGTGATGGCTTCAGCCGTCTGCAAAAAGGCGTTTCCTTAAACGTTTCGGGTATCGCCTCGATACAGAATAATAATAAACCTTGAAGACATCTTTGGGTTTATGGCAAACTGTCGCCACCCTTCAGTATCACCAGCGGTGTGAGACGAGGTTGCCCGCTGTCACCTATCCTATTTAAATTCGCAGTTAACGAAGTCATGGAAATTGCATTCACTGGACATGATCTGAAAGGTGTGCAGCAAATTCCTGGTGAGCGACTTCTTGACATGGAGTATGTGGACGATCTTGCCGTAATCTGTGACAGCTCCCAACACCAGGCAGCCCTGGACCGATTAGCACTGGTTGTCCATCGTTTTGGGCTATGCTTTGCTCCATCGAAATGCAAAGTACGTCTCCAAGATTGACAGGGACCCACCGTTGCGTTAATGCTTTGTGGTGATCTGCTAGAAGTCCTTCAGAAATAAAAGTACCTGGGCAGCTATATTAGCACCCGTGGGATTGAAGATGAGGTTACGAACTGTATAGCAAAAGCTCGAGGTGCTTTTGTTAATCTTCGACACCTGTGGCGACGACGCAATATTACTTTCGCACTGAAGGGCAAAGTTTATAACGCAGCCCTCCGTTCAACTATTCTATACGGTTGTGAAACCTGGCCCACCAGGTCGACAGACATAAAGAGGCTGGTCACATTCGATCATCGCGGCCTTCGCAGTTTAGCTCATGTCTGGTGGGAGCACCGCGTGAGCAATGAGCGTGTTCGAAGTCGCGTATTTGGTGCAGGAAGAGCGAGTGAACCGCTCAGCATCATTATATCACGCACCAGGCTCCGATGGCTGGGCCACGTGTTGCGCATGCCAGCACACTGACTCCCGCGAAGTGCTTTGTTTGCGCGCCAAGAGGAGCCGTTGGAAGAGGAGGAGGGTAGGCCAAGCGATGAGTTGATCGAGAGGAATGAAAACCCTCACTTCGCAGTTGGCTTCGGTTGGTGCATCCCGATTGCCTTGCTGGGTCCTAAGGACGATGAACATGTTTGGTTGGACACACTTGCTGATATGGCAAAGTGCCGGCCACAGTGACTTTTGTGTTGTGAGTTTCTTTGTACATTCCCCTCACTTAAGGTTCCCCCTCCAATCCCGATCTCATATAAAAGGCATAATATAATATTTAAAATCGCATTTTGTAGTGTAATTTTTAGTCTCTTATCTTTATGTATTGCGGCACATTAGCTGAGGTGTGTTTCTCACTCGCAGCTAATGTGTAGTGATGATGATGATTGCACCCTCAAAGTGCAAAGCTTTACTAAAAATTGGCAGGGAGCAGCTCCTGCGCCGAACCTGGGTGAGGATCAACTGGAAGCCGTCCAAAAATTCAGCTATCTGGGAGGGTGTATCAGCGTCCTTGGGATGGAAGATGAGATCACGAACCGAATAGCAAAAGCTCGAGGTGCTTTTGCTAGTCTTCGCCACGTATGGCGGCGGCGCGACATCACTCTCGCTCTGAAGGGTAGAGTGTACAATGCAGCGGTACGGTTGCGAAACCTGGCCCCTTAGATCAGCGGACATACAGAGGCTGGTTACGTTCGAACCCCAGTGCCTTCGCAGTTTGTCTCATATATGGTGAGAACACCGCGTGGGCAACGAGCGTGTCCGACGCCTCGGTTATGACACAGGAAATGACCCGCTCAGCACCGTCATTTCATGCGCCAGGTTCCGATGGCTCGGCCGCGTGTTGCACATGCTAACCCACCGACTACCGCGACGTGCGTTGTTTGAACGCCGGAGTGTGGATGAAAGAAGAGGCGGCCAAGCTATGAGTCGGTTAAGAGGAATGAAGGCAATTAGTACGAAATTGACCTTGGTTGGAACTCGAAAGACGATGAACACGTTTGGCTGGATACATTTGTTGATATGGCTAGAAGACCTCAGTGGCATTCGTGTTGTGAGTTTCTTTGTCCCTCCAACCGCAATTTCACTTCCTAGAACAATACAAATTTTGTACAACAAAATTTTTTGCTGCATAGTAGTCGGCTGATAGCCTTCCGGAACGATGCTCATCCGTTACTGGTAGCTCAGCTGGCGTGCACCTGTAGCATGTTTTTTCTTTGTTTATGTATTGCGGCATAGCAGCTGTTTTTCACCTCAAGCTAAGGTGTATAATGATGAATGAATGAAAGACAGCAGCCACAGTGAAATCGAAAGCATAGATAACATAAGCGCTAGGATTAGGGTAAACTTAATTCCGAAGGGTGCAGAAAAGCGCGAAGTAGGTTCTGCGGCACATGGGTCTCTAATGGATGCATGTGTGTGAAACATGGATAAGCAGTCCGGAAAATTAAAAGCATGATTCAATGGGGTGAAAACCGCGGTTATTTATCCAGATTTCAACGAAAGCAAAGTTAAACCTGGCCGGAGCCCGTGCTGCGCAACAAGTAGAACTCTGAGGAATAGCGATGAGAAGACGATGTGAGTGAGATGGATGCTACGCCACGTGATTTCACTACATAAAACAGTGATCAGGCATGATCCAAACACACCGGTGCAAGGAAAGACAGGTTCATACGCTGCCTTCGTGATTTCATAAAAGCCGAAAATTGCATGAGGGTTTCAAGAGAAAGTACGTAAGTGAATAATTGTAGAGCAAACTGCCGTATCACAGATCTCATCATTATCATTATACACGTTAGCTAGAGGTGGGAAACACCTCAGCTACTGTGCCGCAATACCTAAAAGAAAAAAGGGAATAAAATGCACCAGGTGCAAGCCAGCTGAGCTAACAGCAACGGATAGGCATCGTTCCGATGAGCTACCTGCTGGCTACAATGCAGCAAAAAAATACCATGCAAAATAGTGAGATCTTGGTTGGAGGGGGAGGCTAAGAGGGATGGGGTGGGACAAAGAAACTCACAGCACGAACGCCATTGAAGTCGGTTCCTAGCCATATCAGCAAGTGTATCCAGCCAAACGTGTTCATCGTCTTTCGGACCCCAATCAGGGAGCCGAGACACTCCAACCGAGGTTAGCTTCGAAGTGAGGGCCTTCATTCCTCTCGACCAAGTCATCGCTTGGCCAACTGCCCTATTCTTCCATCCACACTTCGGCGCGCAAACGCACGTCGCGGGAGCCGGTGGAATGCATGTGTAACACGGATCTTGTCTAATTCAATTCAAAGCATTGATAACTCACATTGGCTACTCAGGCGCTCACCTAACACGCAAAGTGTGGATGCAGACGTTTCATTAGAAATCGGAACGACATGAATTTGTAGCCGCAGTGCTTAGTGGTAATGCTGCTGACGAGTGCAAACCAAGTAGACCAAAAATAATGGTCGGTGTGGAACAAAGGGAAAATAGAGGAAAACTCAAATTGTTGATATTTCGGATTAATTGGTCAGTGTGGAATGGTTCGTTAGGCTGGATAATTTAACTGCAGGGTTGAATCATTTCTGGATTCGCGTGCTACCTGCATCTGCATCCATTAAAATCAACCTCTTGAAACTGACGTCGCATCGACTAGGGAGGAAACATCTGCAAGCAAACTGTTCTGCTGGGAGAAAAAGTACAAAATTGAAGAATCGAACGTGTGAGTCTGGGTACTGACCTCCCTCTCGATCAGATCATCCAAGGAGATTGTTTCCTTTTGTTCCTCCATCTTTTTCCGGTCCTTCTTGAGAACAAATCCTCGAGAAAATAAGAAATGTCTGAAGAACTTACCGACAGGGAGTGCGTGACGGTAATGGCAGAGAGCACCATTTGGACATTCCCAAAACCAACCGTACTTGGAATTCTCAACCGCATCTAGAAAATATTTGCAAACCTAAACACGAGCGATCAAAAAAGAATAGTAACGAACTATTGTTGAAGGAGGAAGACCTTTGTTGGTAGCTTCATGTTTTTTCGAAACAACCTGTTCTAACTTTTCAATATCCCAGTCATCCATTAAATCATCCTGCTTTTCTTCTATGTACATCCCACGTTTCTCGCCCTTTCTCTCAATAGCCAGATCATGCGAAAATTTACATTTCTCTCCCTTGGTACACAGACCCTGCTTATGATAAACGCAAAGGACGGACTTCGGATCGACACCTAAAGATAAAAAAGCAAGCTAGGTACCTTTGGCACACTTCTGAAGCTCAGCCACAGGTTTAAAGAGCTCGATAAGCTCAGCCTTTTCACGCTTTTTCTCTTCCTTGCGTTCCTCTTTCTCTCGTTGCAGTCGTTCGAGCTAACTGGATGAGTACTAATGAGGCGCCTACTTCCTTGGCCGACTTGTTCCCCTGAACAACCTGCTTTTGTACTTGCTGAATAAACTTCTGCTGTTTGGCCCCTTTTTTATTTTTCAAACCGAACGTCTTATCCTGACCAAAAATTAAGGGGACAGGTTCAAATTACTTCAACAATTTTCTGCTTTTGTTTTTCTGCCGCTTTTTTCGATTGATCCTGACCTTTCGGAGGCATATAGAGCAAGTTGTGTAAACTGAAAGAAACTCGGTCGACAGAGAAATTGCTAGGTGTTGAAAAAAGAAAGATCAAATATTCTGCAGTACGAGTTTAAACAGTATCATTAATGTAAAGTAATTTAGGAAATTCATGTTGTACAATTGAATAGGCTTATTAGTTACGATACAAAAATATAGTCCTCCCATGGTGTATTCATGAAATTAGTTGGGGCAAAAAGCTCGATCAGTGAACCGAATGTGACTAGGACGCAGAACAAAGAAGGATAAAACTGTCGTAATTCGAGTGTACAGCGGTAAAGCGGTATGGTAAAAATGAAGTGAAAGCAACACTGGTTCGGTTACAAGAAACCCGAGTAACGATTGAACAGCTAGGTGTGAGGAGTCAGGGTTAGATGCAGGAGACCAGATGCAGGATCCCATCATACTCACTTTTATCGCACAGATTAGTTGGGAGTGAGGCAACTCACGAATGTGCCGCACTGACTCCGGGACAGCGTGATATTGGACAAACGCCCTGATACACTAACTAAGGATAACTGAAGGAAAGTTGTTCTCATGATATTCTTCTGTAAATGAAGGCAATACGGTCAGTCTGGGTCCAAGTCACGGAGGAATTCGGTGGGTGTCAGGTGCCACAGTGTAAAACAGGCAAAAGCATGATTTCTTCATTTATATTACGCATCGACCATGGTTGGAAAGAATGTTGTTGCCGGCCGAGGCCGATGCGATATCCTCACTGTTCATAGGCAAGTTGATGTACGCTTACTGTCTTCCCATTGATTGTCTTAAGTGCCGGAGTCTTCGATCGGTAAAAACTGTGTTACGGGTTGTAATTTCCTGCTATGGTACCGATATGTACCGCACGTTCAACTGCTGCTTTGTTGGTACAATATTTGGCCTCGCGAGCCCAAGGTAAACTTCCATTCAACCCCCATCTCCCTTCTGGAATGATTGCGTTAACAGACCATCATCGGACGCCTGGTTATGTTGGAAAACGTCCTACTAAAACTTGGACAAGTGGAGGGGCCTTTAAATCGGTCCAGGCTAATTAACCGGAACAGCGCTCTTACTTTATCTGTCGCGAACGTATCAGTTTTCACTGAGGCTTTTGACATCTCTTTCCGTTAGACTAGTTACAAGTCCTTCGCTGATTTTGGAAAATGAACCTTGAAATACTGCGCGTATCGCGCGAAGTTATCAGAACGCATCTTGTAATGTAATACCTCGTTCGGATCTATAAACGTATTCGAGATTGTACTGACAACGGGATCGTTTGTTTGAATGGCACTTGAACTCCTAATGCCACCATACCAGTTGTACTATCATGCATTTTTATTGATGTTGTTTTAAAACATCCGCAGAAGATATGGTAAAATGCTGAAAACGTATCCACCCGGGTACATAAAGCTCATACTGGCTTGACGCAACTAATTGGACTTTGCTCTTAGTGAGGAAAACATCGAAGCTGCTTCGACACTTACTTATGGATGAAGGGGAGCAGCAGTTCGATGATTTGGCCTTCAATGATGTAAATCTGTTGAAGACGCGTTCAGTGCTCTCGATCGTAGATAGGGTTATTAAACAAAAGTGTTTGCTGCAAGTTACGTTTTCGCCCGAATACATCAGGAAACGTGATTTCATTGCCCGGTTGAGTCGTGCAGTACGATTGTGTGGTTATTCGTCTATTCCCCAGGAAAAGATGTTCACTCAGCAACGGAGCACTGGAATTGCTGACAATCGTATACTTGAGGCGTTGTTGCAGGAAGAGGCTTGCATATTGACGTGGGATGGATCCTGTGAGTTGGCCATAAGGAATACAGAAATTTCGATGCAATCAAAACAATCCTTTTCGACCAAAACAACTGAGGTGGCAAAAATACACTTTCAGGTAATCACCAGCAGATAAGCCATCTTGCTATCGTTATGGAAATACTTTTCAGAAATCTGACTTGCCACTTGTCCCGCACGCAGCCTCAAGTTCGAAAACTGAGGAAAAATTGGGCACTAGGCCCGGTGTTGTCGGTCACAGGTCAGCGAATCTAGAAGAAACGATACTACACCCGAATGCCATATTGCCAATAAATCACAAGAAAACACTTTCAATCACCGCTGATACCAGCACTTTAAGAGGTCTAGCAATATCGACTGTTGAACTGTAGCTCCGCTCTACAGATAATCGCACTGTACCATTCCTTAACATTAAAGGTGCTGTTCGACTTGAAATGGAGCTAGATTCTGCTGCTCAAGTTACTATTGTGCCTTTCCAATTGTACGAACGCTATCTATGCCTGCATACTTTAAAGATCAAATCGCAATCATTTTTGAGTTATAGTGGAAGTACTTTGACTATATTGGGATGCATTAGCGTGCCTTTACAGCTGCATTCAGTAGCTGCGGATGTTGCAGTGTACATTTCTTCAGACAACAGATAACCGTTGCTTGGAAAAATGTCATGGTGGTTTTGTACTTAGTGTCAGTTTTCGATCGTGTGTTTTCCGTCAACGTAGTATACTGGCGTGGACGTTAGCTTAAGTTCTCTCAGCAGTCCATCGGACGTACTTCATGTGGCGTGTACCGAACGTGCCAGCTGTACGCCGTAATGCCGCGTGACCACCAACGGTCGCGCGCGAACTGAGTAAACCTCGTGGACGCCCACCCCTAGGCGAATTCGAACCGTGGACCTTATGGTTGCAAACCAGGTGCGCAGACCACCGGCCACCGGCGTGTACCAGCTGAATCAGGATGCAAAACCCGCTGTCATTGGTCAACCTCGGCCTTTCCTGTTAGCAAAACGTTAAGCCGTCTCAGCGGCCATGCAAAAGACGCTAGCAAGTGATTTGATTAAACTCATGAGCTGCTCTGGGTGGGTGCATTCAATGGTCACGGATCAATGTTCTGTGACTCTCATGTACAACAGCATGAATCAGAAGAAAACAGAACGTGTGCCCTTTTACCACGATGTTACATACCGACCCGGTAAGTTCACTGAGCCGACAAATTCTCACGTACTTGTTGCAACAGCTCGTCTGGCAGTCCGAATCTAAAACAACATGACTTTCTGTCTCACCGAAGTACAACTCCCATGACTCATTTCGTCCGCATCAAAAACCTGCAGTATTTTGTGGCTGAAATCAAATCCATGATTTTGAGTTGTGCCGTTTGTTGTGAGTTGACAGCTGGCAAAAGTAACTCAGCCGTTTAAACACCTCGCTGTTGATGGTAAAAGCTTTCTCGTTCTCCATTCGCTTTTGCAGGCTCTGATTTGATCGCTTCTACTGGGATAAGCTTCTGTTAGCTCTTTAGGAAGTTTGGCATACTAGCCTTTATTCATTCGGACAGAGTTTGCTCTTTTATGTCGCGTGAAGTGGGTGACTTTCTTCATAACAAAAAATGGAAACAAGCCAAACAGCCGCATATTGTCCACAACCTGATGGGCAAGTCGAACACCTGAACATTGTGGTGCTCACGACAGCTGTCGACCAGTATGTGAGTTGAAGTCTCCTTATGTCTGTTTTAGACGCCATCAGGAGCAGCTCATGAAGGTATCGATAGAACTGGTCCTTGACTGTATCTGAGCTGCAGTCAGTTGGCTCGTAAGCGAAGAGCACACTTGTCTGCTCGGTGTCAGCTTATCGTGCAGGAGCCACAGAGTCCCATAGCGCATAGACGACTATTGACCGGAATCCAAGCAAGGAGGACGGCCTCGGCTCGAGTACTGAAGGTGATTCCAACAACAGCTTGTTCAGATGCAGCAGGCCCAGCTTCACCAGAAAGGCGAAGACAAAAACTGGTGTGTGGTTGGACTGGTGATGACAGCAGGTAGACTGGGTTGAAATCCTGGAGTAGAGTTTCACTCAGGTAGCAGACATCAATTGCAAGGGTCTCCGGCGTGCGTGCAAGTCCAGCCTGCTGTCCGATCTGCAATAATATGCGGACGTCGACGGTATATTATATATATATATATATATATATATATATATATATATATATATATATATATATGCAACGGTCTACGAATAGGCATAAAACCATCAGAAACCATGGGGTACAGAAATAGTAAAAGAAAACACAAGACAAAATATCAAAGTCCATGGTTTCGTCAGAGGGCGAGATACTACCCGGTTGCCTAAGCCGAAGTCGAGGGTTGCTAGTTTGAACTGAGTTCCAGGTTGCAGTAGCGAAGATAGCAAGTCCAATTGTTGGAGTCGGAGGGGATAGGGTACGTCATGCAACTCAGAAACAGAGCTAGATCTGCGCCGTTGGACGTTCTCAATCATGTCATATTCAAACTTGATGAGATGATAGCAGGCAGTAAAACCGTATTCAAGAATCGGGTATCCATGCGAGGTGAACAGGAGATGGAGCAGCACCGCGGTCAGGCAGCACAAGGCTCGTCGGATGGCATGGAACATCCTATAGGCAGCGACGACCCTTTTCAAACTGTTCTGAGTTGATCTTAGATCAGGAGACAGGATTATGCCGATGTCTTTCTCATGAGTGGCATTTCTAAGTAAAGAACCACTAATGTAGTGAGTTCCGAATGGTTCAGGCGCGCCACACACACAACGCGCGGCACATTTAACGCGGTTAAAAGGCAATTGCCACTGCATAAGATGGAGGGTCTCTTGCAATGGATCTGCATTCTTTGTGCACATATTAGGTAATCCGACTGCAGCACGGACGGAAAGTCATTAATAAAGAGGTTGAAGAGCTCAAGACCAAGGACAAAGCCCTGGGGGACACCGCTGGTCATGCATACAGGGTCATAAAACAGTACATTCACTTTTACGTCCATGTAGAAATCGACCAGGAAAGAATATTCCTAGCGACGTTGATGCCTCAGAGTTTAAAAAGGAGCTGTTCATGCTGGAGCTTGTTAAAAGCTTTGATAAAGTCAACGAGCACGAGCTCCAAGCGCTTTCCGAGATTTAATGATTGTACCCACTTCTCCTTTATCATCAACACCATCATCAATACACGTTGGCTGTGGGTGAGAAACACACCTCAGCTAATGTGCCGCAATACAAAAAATAAGACACCAATAATTACACTACAAAAAATGCAAAAACATTTTTAGGTATCATAGTATTCACTTTTATGAGATGGTAATTGGGGGTAATCTAGAAAAGAGGCGGATGAACAAAGAAACTTACAAATCAAACGCCATTTGGGCCGGCTCATAGCCACGTCAGCAGGTGGGTACAACCAAATGTGTTCGTGGTCCTTCGGACCCTAGTCGAGCAGTCGAGATTTACCAACCGACGTCAACTACGAAGTGAGGGTTTTCGTTCCTCTTAACCATGTCATCGCTCGACGTCCCATCCTCCTCTTCCAACCGCACTTCCGGCGCGCAAACAAGGCACGTCGCGGGAGTCGGTGTGATGGCATGCGCAACACGTGGCACAGCCATCGGAGCGTGGTGCGTGATATAATGGTGCTGAGCGGTTCACTCGCTCTTCCTGCACCTAATACATTCATACATGGTGCTCTGAGCAGACATGAGGTGGGCTGTGAAGGCAGCTATGGTTGAACATCTGTCGACCTGATGGGCACAACCATACAGGAGAGTTGAACGGACGGCTGCGTTATAAACGTTGCCCTTCAGTAAGAGAGTAATGTCGCGTCGGCGCCACAGGTGGCGGAGATTAGCAAAAGCATCTCGAGCTTTTACTATACGATTCGTTACCACATCTTCAATCCCACGGGTGCTAATATAGCTGCCTAGGTACTTGAATTCCTGAACGAGTCCCAGATCCACTTCTCCTTGGCTACGAGCAAGTTCGTGGCAGATGAGCGAGCTCTTCGGAAACCATGCTGAGCACAAGAGAAGAAATACAACTCCTCGAAGTGAAGGTGAAGGGTCCGTTTCAGACAGTTTATTCCCAGTCCACCTTCATGGAATAGAAAATAGAGATCATCTGTTCAAGTGATAATCCAGCACTTTTTCCGCAGAAGTACCTTTGGCGGATTTTAGTGCACTTATAATGAGAAAACACCGGTCACGAGAGGATGGTAGGGTGCGCCAAGAGATCTGTGGCTAACATGGAGAGGCAATGTCCTTGATCAACCTTCACAATGGGTTAATTCTGTCGGGAACCGTTTTTATTTGGGACTGGGAGGACGCTAACTTGGGTTTAGACAGACTTTGCATATTACACCTGATTGCGCTCCGTCCACCTGGGACGATAGCAGTTTCCACATCACGATTGTGTATGCCTCAATCATGCGCTTACTGGATAGGATGTGTCAAAGGCACTGACTGAGATGTAGCTGTAGCTCAACATCGCTTACCCGCGGGGTGAGACCGACAGCCTCAGGATATGTCAATGAAAGAAAAATTGCTTGGGTTGCTGGGTACACTTGCAGCTAACCGGCCTAGCAGGGCTGTAAACATAATGAGGGAGTGTATGTGTGTATTCATAAACATTTTAATGAGTTCCATTAAGTAGAAATGTTATAACGGTAAGATGTTGAATAATGGTTACAAATTTAAGAGCTGGCATGGGTTATTTGACATCCGATTCATATTTTCTTTTCCATTTCTTCACTTCATGTGGGACTGGAACGATAGGAGTATCCCGTGACTGTTCCCTCTTCAACGGGTCGTTGAACCAGAAGTTGCCGAAAAACCTTGAAATGCAAATGGCCAATAACCGCATCACACCATGCTCGACCAATTACTTCCCACAAATCCTGCATTAGCTGTCCCTGTTGGACCGATTGGGTGAAGTAA